AATGGTATTCATTTACAGTTTGGTCATTGTAACTTACACTTATAATATAAAATATACATAAGTTATAACTATAAGAATATCAGGTAAAATGAAACCCAGTCCCTTAATTTATACGCCATTGTAACCTTGAGGATGGGTAAAATAACAGTTTTCAAAATGTTTGAAAAACAAAATTCAGTTTAATATGCTGAAGTTTTAAAAAATAGTAATTCAACTCGACAAGAAATTATCACTAACGGCATTCGCTTTCTTCTTTCTATGTACGGAGCTCCTAAAAAAACTACCTGCTTAGAGAAGTATAGATAGATGCATGTTTTGTTAAAAATACCAAAGCTAAAAAAAAAGAACAATTACCTTGTCTTTCTCCAACCTCAGTTGCTGCTCATCAACATCTTTTTCGGGTATATTACTAAGTTCAAGTGTGGCTAGTTATCAGCTAGACCCTACAGACTGGGGTTGGAAGTTGGTCAACAATCCATTAGAACCAGTCCAAACTTTACTTCCACCTGCGCCGGAAAAACTGCTGAACACAATTTTTTGCAACTGCAAAAAGGAGCGCAGTGCTAAATGTGGTTGCAAAAAAGGCGGACTGTTGTGTTCTCTGGCATGTACACATTGTCAAGGCCGTTCGTGCTCTAATTTTGAATCACCAACAGTGGAGGATCCGTTTGATTCCAACGAGGCGACATGCGATACATTGCTGCTGACGCAGTTTACATGTACTCAGGATGCAGATGAAGTGGAACAAGAAACAATAAAAAGAAGAACAAGTAGAACAAGAAGATCAAGAAGAAGAACAACAAGAAGAATTTGAAAGTTACGACTCGGGCGATTAAATTTCACTACTTTTTTTCAACTTAAATTACTTTTATTTTTTTAATCTCTGCTAATATTCACGAAATATATCAACGTACACGCAAAGTCACTTTTTAAAAAATATATTTTAATTACAAAGTGTGAAAATTCGAAATTACAGAGATGTTTACTGTATGAAATCTAGCAACTGACTAATTTATAAATGGAGTTCAGTCTTCAGGTCGATTCAGCAACATCAGCATAAAATGGCGTCAGCGATGCTGGATAAGCTCTTCTCCCTTAAGGTGGTACGATGTAATTCACGTTAAAAAACGTGCTAAGTACACTACCTCATAGGTGGCGTGGAAACGTGTGCATATTATGACGTTACAATTTTACAACTTTTTGAATCGTTATATCTCAAAAACGGTGGCTCGTAGGAAAAAAAGGTTCGAAACATTTTTTGTAGATAATTTTATGATCACCAATTATCGTCTTGAGTATTTTTATGATAAAACTTATCGTTTTGCTGAAAATCGCAAAAAACTCATTTTTTTGACCTTTGACCTTGAATAACATTTTTTCCACACAGGGGAAAGATGGGAAACTTTCAAATTTTATGTTCAATCATATTTGAAACAATCTTACTGATTTTCAGCGTGATGGGAATTTTCGTAGCTTCGATTGTCTAAATTGACCGGACCATATACAAATTGTGGTTAACAATTTTGAATTCATTCAATGAATATTCATCAAAACAGAATAGTAGTCTTACTTCATTATAACTCTGTACTGATTTTTTTCTTGTTTCGATATCAGCCCATGTTGTCATATCATTCCAGTATGCCAATATTTTTGGGTACTTTGATTTGTTCAGATTTGCCAATCTAACAACCGTAGGGTCCAAATTGAGTTCACGGGCTATATGTTCCATAATGCTTTCTATAGCTGCCAAACCTTCCAGGGTGCCTTAAATTTAAAAAAAAAAATAAATTGATTAATTTTCAAATACTAACTTTGAAGACTTTCGTACAATTTTCATAAGATTGTTGTTTTTTTTTAGATATAACATTTCGATTAACTGTTACCCAAAAATAATATGATTTATCGATCTGAGTTATCCAGTTCGAAGACTGCTTCCTTTTTCCTACATTGAAGGAGAAGGAAGCAACTTTTGGGGCTTGAAAGGAAATTACAGACGCCCTCAAAAACACTTTGTGTATTGCATTAGTAGAAAGTTCAGAGCCTGGTAATTTATTCCTCTTCCAATAAATTGATGGATCTAGCCGTTACTACGTGGCAGGAGAGCATCATGAAAAATAAGAAAAGAAAATTTCTATGTTTAAAAAGGGGTAAAAAAAAAATTTTCATTTCTTATTTTTCAAATTTCTCGTCTTTAATTGAAAAAGGATGTGTGCGTGTGTAAACTGAAATGGGGTCTCAGTTTGCCTACTCCACAGGTCTCATCACTAGTTTTCGCGTGGATCCCAAGCGAGGATTGAAAGTCTTCAGGAGCTTGTTGTTTTCTTTCCTCTTTATAATAAATCTAATGAATGGACCGGTATCTATAATCAAATGGTGCTTTAAAAACCTCAGTGGTTTCAGAAATGAAAGCCTTAACTGGATGGAATCATATCTGAGTGAACAAACTCAAGTTAATTGTGAGAACTGACACGCTGTCAGATATTGACTCTGTCAGACATGGAGTACCTCAAGGCTCGGAACTGGGGCCAGGATTGTTTTTGTTGTATTTTAATGATCTAGCTTATATTGATTCTGAGAGAATGATCATAATTTTTACAGATGATACAACAATCCTGTGGCATGACACTAATAAAAATAATCTTCAAAACAAAATAGCACAAGATATTGTTAAAGTGATAGAGTGGTGCAACTCCAATCTGCTATCCTTCAATAGAAAAAACCAATGTTATATCATTTAACTGCAACTCGTCAGGCATTCCGATGGGTAATTATATTATATCAAACAAAAAACTAAGTAAAATTCTTGGAATCATTCTGGACAGCAAAAATTGTGTACCAGGCCGTGGTTAAATCACATCTAAGGTATGGCGTATCATTCTGGGGCACCTGCAACCAACACCACTTCAATACAGTCTTCATTCTCCAAAAGCGCACCATCAGATATCTGTGCAAAGTTGGGCCTAGAGAGTCTTGTAAACCCTTGTTCAAGGAGCAAAAATTACTAACACTATATCCTTTATTCATACTCGAAACTGTGCGCTTAGTGCATAAGAACAAACCATCTTACAAATTTGATTAGGAACTCATTGATCTATAATGCAGCTAAAATATATAACCATCTAAAGACAAGTTTTAAAGATATCCAATCACCTTATCAGTCCAGGAAGTCTGTAAAGCAAGTTCTTATTGATCAGGTGTTTAATAGTGTTCAAGAGTACTTTGATAAACATATGGATTGAATTCTGGTATAAAATTATTCCCTGTTCAATCATTACTTATGTTGATTTTTAATAGCTCCTACAATTTTGAAAACAATGTCTGATTATCTTATTTATTTATATATTTCATCTATTTACTTCCTTATGATGTATTGTTTGGAACCTTTGGTGTGGTAATGAATATTACTGAAGTTTTTCCCAATACCAAATCGTTATTTTATTATCATCTTCAATTATTGCCTGTTCAATCATTGCTTATGTTGATTTTTAATAGCTCCTACAATTTTGAAAAACCATCAGTGAAGTAGAACTGGTCGAAATAACCTTTTGGGGCACTACGATGACTTTTGCCAGCCGTCAGAAATTTTCTACAATCTCTGAGTCTAAAATAAATATGCGATCGTTTCCTACCTAAAGATCCTAATTTGGGAGACCCGTGGGAGAGGATTCCGGAATCGGGACCCTGTGTCAAAGTGCAATAATTGGAATCTTCCTGGATTCAATCGTCCAGACATTGTTGTCCGGAGACAAAATGGGCCAACAAAAGAGCTTCCGTCGGGCTCTTGGAGTGGTAACGCGGTATTACGTCACTTCTGATCTCTCCAGCAATCATCCCACCATGCATTGCTCATTCTTAGTCAGATGCAAGGTGAAGGACTTCTCGATTATAGCGCCATAACTTTGTAATGGGGTTTGCAGCTCCAGATGAGAATATAATCTCAAATGATTAGGAAAAACAAATGAATATAAAAATCGCAGACTCTATCGAACTTTTCGCCTTTCCTGTACTGACAATAATATTCCTTGGTAGGATAATATGATCTGCAAGGTGGCGTTGGCATGTATGCGGTATCCACATACATTGTCGATGATGATGTTGGTTTGTGTATTTCTGAAAGATGATTATATTCAAGGGGTATTGAATTTCTCTTTCTCAATGAGATATTTTTTTCATTTTAGTATGAATGTTGGAATCGATACCTTATTTCAATGTTCGTGAGTGGCTATTTTAGTTAGTTCGTATTCAGAAGAGTCAAGTAATATTGTCATTTTAACGATGTAGTCTGTGGAGTTGAATATTAAAGTGCAGTTGAATTTGTCGGCCTCAAAAATAACTTTGACTAGATGATTGTAAAAGTTTCTCACCAGGTGCTCTAGTCCAAGTGGGACTGGCATTATCCGTTCTGACAGCATATGTAGAGAATTCCCATCGATCTGAATCATAACAGTTCTCAAATAAATATACAATCAACGGAAATACATTTTCGTTTCCTCCTATTCCAATGTCAGAATACAAGTCCGATTTCAAGTATTGGATAACACCTTTATCATCTACGCCGACCTCGTATTTGGTATAGAGGGGAAATCTTCCTCCTATAATATCCATGTTTCTTTCTAGAGGAACCCACATCTTCACTGGTGCATTGAGCTTGACTGCTGCAAGTGCCGCTGCTGTTGTAACAAAGGAGTTTTTTAAAATTTTGGCCCCGAAACCACCACCAAGACGTCGGACTTGAATATTTATCCTGCAATATAAGTCAAATTAAATTTGACGTGTAGATTTCCCCGGGTTCATGTTTATCTGCACATTATCAATTTTTATCGAAAACGACACAATGTCTAACGTACCTCATACATACCTCATTTATCAAATTTTTTTTAGTTTCCTGGTCCATTCTGTCTCCATATTTTTTCCTCGGCTTTTCAAATGAACCAAACTCGGTGAGAGTTTGATTCAATAACTTGAACATAGTTCGATGTGGTTGTCGTCTTTCGAAATACAAGTTTAAATACATTTCCGATGTCATAACACAGTTTATATCGTATTTGTAATAAATTTGTATCATATCTCTTTTTTCTTCATTCGTGAAAGTCAAAAATTCAATGACTTGTACAATAACAAAATGTCATTGAGTGTAACAAATCGAAAGTCATTTTTAGAAACATCAAAGTCAAAGCATAATATGAAAAGAATTAATTTCTTTCAATATCTCTAATTTTTCGAAAAAGAATGATAACTTATGATACATCATTGGAAAGGAAAAATCTGGTTGTATTCAAAACAGAAGTGCAATTCTGTTTTTTCCGGATATCTCCGGATATACTCGGAATTTCAGAACTTTCTCGACGGATATTGTTAGTCAGATAAATGCGCAACTTTGCCTCAATATAAGCATCTTCGTATTTCTCATAGTTTCCGAGACCCCAATGGTGAGGATCGTATTTGGAACACCCTGTAGATCATATCTAGTATTTCCTAAGAATCAATCAGTGTTCCTAACCTATTGTACGTTGTTCAAGTTGTTCGACATTTTGGCTTCGACTTTGAAATGAAAGCAGGTGTTCCGCAGGGGTCCTGTCTATCCCCACACTTATACTTTCTCTATACGTACGACTTCCCTATGTTCCCAAAAACGAATGTAGGCATTCACGGACGACACCGCGATATATGCGCATTCATACTCTAGCGAAGTGACAACAAGACAGCTACAAATTCACATGGATAGGTTAGTCGTACCATGGAGAGGAATAAGATAAAGATAAAGTCGTCAAAGACTGAACCCGTCAATTTCACGAAGAAATTCACAGATGTGAAGATCTTCAATTCAAAGAAAATGTGTGGATGAACAGAAAGAAAAGCGAGAAATACCTTGGAGTTATCGTAGACAAGCGCTTGAATTTCCAAGAACATATGAGTTAGGCGGTTAGCCGGAAGCGGCGATAAAACGCAGCTCCCCTTTCCTTGTACGAAATTCCAAACTCAGTTTTGACAACAAGCTTCTGATATACAAAAAGTAATCAGGTCAGTTATGTTTGAAGCTTGTTGCCCACTTGTCCGGCACAGCACAGCACAGCGCTGATGGCCTGATGGCCTGATGGCGACGGGTAGTAGCATCGCTCACTTGTTCAGCTACAACCAGCACACTGAAGGTGCTGTTTGTTCGATTTCAAGGGAATTTCAGCACCAGCAATTCTGACGAAGAAGTCGTCATTATAGTGGACGCATTATTTAATGTAGAAGATAGTCACAGAAAAGAAGGATGTGGATCCATCCCGTTAATCAAAAGAAGGCAAATCTGGGAGAGTTTCATCATCTTTTCAACGACCTGAAAGAAGACGAGGAGAATTTTTTCCAGTATTTCCGAATGACTCCAGGCATATTTTCAGAACTTCTGGATATTCTAGAGCCTGCCTTAACATGCAACTCAATGTTTACCCGTCCATTTTCATAGGTACCGTCTGACACCCTGCTGTCAACTAATGGAATAGCAAAAAAGAGAGACAGAAACTTCCCATGCACGTTTGGACAAGTTGATGCTGGCAAGCGCTGCGCGCTGGCCGGCGATGCACTCACTTGGCCAGTCCGTCACAACACGTACCGTAATTCGCCGGACAGGATCGGAGAGCTGGAAGCCTTTCCGGCGGCGGACGCTCTTGGCTGTACCGTGCCGGGCTAGTGGGCGGTTGTCCATTCATTTTATTGTTCCAATGCTATACGTATTTTGACCGGACGGGCCGTGCTGTGCTGTGCCGGACAAGTGGGCGACAAACTTTACGCTTGTCCTGTGTTCTGCAGCCTCAAGGACACCCCCTTATTGAGGCTTAAGAGATTGCATAACAAGGTACTTCGTATCATACGTTTCATTGACATTTGCGAGACATAGCGAAAATCGAGCCGATCACAGATTTTATCAGACGGCTCGCCTATGAACACTTCAAGTGGTTTCTTCCCAAAAGCCGGCTAATAGAGAAATCATAGCTATTGGAAATTACCATAATCAGCCCCGCCGACACGTAACGTTTGAAACACAGAGTCACTCTAAAAACAGAAATGGGGGTAAATTTATCAAAAACTCCACAGTTTGTTTCACTCAAAGTTTTATATATAATTCAGTTGTCCTCTAGAATATACTTCCCGGTGAGTTCAGACGCTACACGTTATATAACTTCAAGAAGAAACTGAAACTGCACTTGAAATTAGCTTTGGATACCTTCAATGCTTTCTTTTGGGATATATTATTGTAGTTTTTCTCTTGTTTTTCTGTCTACTATTTTGTTTTTTAATTCTTTGTATATCTTTCAATAATTCTTTTAGGAATTAACTTCTTGAATGTCTGTATATTTGTGTCCTTTTAACTAGGTTGAGTTAAAAAACGGCTCAAGCTGACCGGCTTATCGTTAAGTTTAAATTTTTCACTTCTCCTCTATTATTTGTACTCTCAAGACCAAAAACACTTATAACGACTATAACGAGAATTGGAAAAATTATGTACCTGTTCATTGGCATATTCAAAGCTTCACTTATGGCGGCCTGGCAGAGATCCATCCATTGGGTTGAAGGGTAAACATCTAAGCCGTCTTCAGTAGGTATCACATTACAACACTGAAGCTCCATGTGGAAGTGAAATTGTGATCCGATGTAAAATTCTCCCTTGATCACTTTCTCAACATCGTCCCCTGATCAACGAATATTTTAAAATGAATGAAAGACGAATAGTGCTAATTTGTTATGTGGATAAATAACCGTTAATCACAGCAAAATCAGTCAGTTTCAACTCTTATATGGCCAGTAGTTTTTTCAAATGACGTGATTATTTGAATTTTAGTTGGGGCATCCTGAATGCTTTGAGTCGAAAATATATTCATTAGAAAGTTTAAACCTTGTTAATTCAGTGAATTCATAAAAACCAATATCTTACTTATTAGTCTAGACATATCAACTCAACAAAATCTTTTGAAAATTTGCAAGTAGTGGTGAAAGCCAATACATTCCAAGGGTTTTGTAATGATATGGAAAAACTATTCGAACGCCCTTTTTTATGAAACATAAATTTTTTCTGGCAAATAAAAATTGTGGATAAAAATTTTATGAGCGTACTAAAATACGAATTGATTTTTTTAACGTGAGCCATGAATGAACAGAATATGTATAAATGTCAAATTTAATGTCAAGTACGTAAATAATCATTCGATTCGTGTCAATTTGTGCGGGGAAAACCATGATTTTTTCTAATGACAAGGAAGTTGATATGATTTCCGTATTCACGAGATGTATGAGAAATGCTACTGGATATCTAGTTTTATATGGGGAATTTATCCTGAGGGACGTCAGCCATCCCAAATATATTTTCAACGCACTGAGAGGAGTTCACTGAAAATTCTCGAGGGAGATTTGTACTGTAACTAAAAAAGGTGGCGATACTGAGTTGGCGTTTTGGGTGAGTTCAAAGGAGATACTCAGTGCTATTAAAATGACGAGCCTACGGCTAGGGTACGGCTAGGTTATTAGGCGGAATACAAAGACTGGCGTGCCTAAGTGAAGCGGGAGCCATGAGAACGACCCCCAACTGCAGCACTTGAGGTCCTACTCGGACTTCCACCATTTACATCTACATGCAAAAAGAAGCTCGACTGGTGACACACAGGCTAATGCATGGATTCTGTGAAGATTCCTGCACTGACGCCTGTCTGATATAATCCAACGCCCTTCGTGGTATTAGCCAGGGGAGTAGTTGTTTTCTGATAGGCGTCAGTCCATTAAACCTACTGTGTAGGTATATAGAGGACTGGCTTGAACGTTTGAAGTTCCATTTGCTTTAGATTTATATGGGGAATTTATCCTGAGGGACGTCAGCCATCCGAAATATATTTTCAACGCACTGAGAGGAGTTCACTGAAAATTCTCGAGTGAGATTTTTACAGTAACTAAAAAAGGTGGCGATACTGAGTTGGCGTTTTGGGTGAGTTCAAAGGAGATACTCAGTGCTATTAAAATGACTAGCCTACGGCTAGGGTACGGCTAGGTTATTAGGCGGAATACAAAGACTGGCGTGCCAAGTGTCGCGGGAGCCATGAGAACGACTCCCAACTGCAGCACTTGAGGTCCTACTCGGACTTCCACCATTTACATCTACATGCAAAAAGAAGCTCGACTGGTGACACACAGGCTAATGCATGGGCACACCCCAATCAGCCAGTCACGCGGTGCAGAATACTTGAAACTGTACAATGAACTGAAGACAGATCCAATACTATGAATGCCCGTGGATAACACAGTTCCGCAGTACAACTTTCAAAAATAAATCAAAATCATCATACCAAGTACAGTGGACTGGCAAAACGGCACACCGGTAGAAGCGGAAGCAACTGTGTTCCAGGCAGAAGTAGCGGCCATTGAACACTATATAGGGAAAATACATAGGCAGAAGGTCACAAATAAAACCGTTGCCATTTTCTCTGACAGTCTGGCGGCAATCAAGGCGCTCAGCTCATTTCAAGTATTCTCAAGACTGGTGGAAAGCTGCCTGAGCGCACTCAAGGAGCTAAGTACCCAAAATAAGGTCACTGTAGCTTGGGTACCCGGACATGAGGGTCACAAGGGCATCCAAGGCTATGATCGGCCCAGAACCCTTCTGCGGGGTAGCGAAAACATGTATAAAGACATCGATGAGCTGCCAGGAATGAGGCAGAGATCATAAAGAAACCATCGCCCAGATTCACGGAAGAGGTGCTAAACCACAACCGTAAGGTTGTAAGGGTAGTGGTGGATCCACTAACGGGGCATAGCCGACTCAGAAAACATATGAGCAACATGGGCCTAATAGAAGAAACCCGATGTAGGTTCTGTCAAGAAGAGGAATAAACCGCACTGCATGTGCTCTGTGAATGCGAAGCGATAGCAAGGCTGGGACACGCAAGATGCGGGGAAGAAAAACCAGAGGCTGCCAGCTATATGAAGGGATCAATGTCAAGGCTATGGAGTCTCATCAAGAAGATCAAGCTAGACAATGAGCTCTAACAACCAAGGAGCATCACAATAGATCTGAAAAGGTCGCAGTGAATCAGGCCATGGGCTAGCTCCCCGACAATCTAATCTGAACTAATCTAATAATAAAATGATATTCATTCGATTCGGTATCATTGAGACTACGTCAGTTCAAAAAATTTTCAGAAGAAATGAATTTAGATTTTGTAGGGTAGCTCCTCAGACAATATCGTCAGGATAATAAATTCTGTAATGAAATTTCATGATGTGATGAGAGTAGATTCACGAATAACGAATGTTTTCTTATTAGTCATAGGGCTTTGCTTGAAGACTGACAGTAAACAAATCTAAAGAAATGAACTTCAAACATTCAAGCCAGTCTCGATATACCTACACAGTAGGTTGAATGGACTGACGCCTATCAGAAAACAACTCATTCGATTAAATCCGACAGGCGTTAGTGCAGGAATCTTCACAGAAAATTTCCTGCATATGCAATTGGCAATACAAAGAGTCGACCTTCAATTTTGGAACGGGCACACTTGCAGACCGGTTTCGGGCTCATTAGCCACTCGTCAGTGCAAGATAGTTACCATCATCGACCTAAAGTCAATGATATTCCATAATTGAAAATCGAAATATGGAATATCATTAGGTCGATGATGGTCACTATCTTGCACTGACGAGTGGCTAATGAGCCCGAAACCGGTCTGCAAGTGTGCCCGTTCCAAAACTGAAGGTCGACTCTTTCAACTGTATTGCCAATTGCATATGCAGGAAAATTTCTGCGAAGATTCCTGCATTGACGCCCGTCGGATATAATCCAACGCCCTTCGTGGTATTAGCCAGGGAAGTAGTTGTTTTCTGATAGGCGTCAGTCCATTCAACCTACTGTGTAGGTATGTCGAGACTGGCTTAAACGTTTGAAGTTCATTTCTTTAGAAATAACGAATGGTTCAACAGAAATATTCATGAATATTACTGGAGTGTTATCCCAACACCAAACCGTTATTTTTAACACATCGACACATGTTTCGATCACCAAGTGATTATCTCCAAGAGAAAGATTGACACTGGCGAGGATAAAATTCCTTCCTGCACGGAGTTACAAATTTCCAAGAGAAATTTGGCTTGGTGTACTAGACACCAAGTAGGTCCTTACTCTTTTGAGACTTTGACTTGCCGTTGAATATTCTGAGAAAATATCAGTATTTCCAACATGATGGGGCTCTGCTATATCGCAAAACTACTTGCAGACATATTCTCAATACGACTATGCCAGGACGATGGATAGGAAACAAATGTCCTATTGAACGGCCACCACGTTCACCTGACCTGTTCCTTCCGGACTTTTCATTGTGGGGCTTCAATGAAAACAAGGTATTCGGTCCAAGTTTCGGTAATACTGATTAACTGAAAGAAATAAAAAGAAGTGCTTGCATGGCTATAATTCCACAAATCTGGAAAATTGACAAAAAAATACTATTGCAAGAACGAATATGTGTTTAAAAACGATATCACACAGATAGGTGGAAAATTATTAATCTAACAGAAAACAGTTTGTGTGTCAATAAAAAAATGTCAATTCATTGAAAACTTACTTATGGTGTTCCACAAGGGTCTATTTTGGGTTCAGTTTCATTTTGATTCTGTTCCAAATTCTGTTTCAAAATTATTTTTGAAAGGAAATATTAAGTTATACGCGGATNAACTGAAAATATAGAAAAAATTCATTTAATTTTTTTATTCCCATTGGAGAGGTGAACGAAAATTCTCATTAGTTTTTCCGTAATTGCTGAAATTTAGGAATTATTTCAGACACAAAAATTCCATTGACGACGGGAGATTGGTTGAAACTGAGAAAGAGTATATATAGACCGTGACACTGTTTGGAACCTTCGGCACCTCGACACGTGTTTCGATCACCAGGTGATCATCTTCAAGAGGAAGATCAAACTGTTTGAGACTGGCCTGAACGAATTGTCCTTTCAGATAATTCAATAGTAATGATTTAAGTTAATTCTCTGACAATGATGACAATGTTATGACTGCTATATTGATTATAAAACTCATATTGATAATTTCGGTGACTTACCTTTACTCTTCGGCAGAAATGTTGTTTGATGTGAAATTCTGTTCATGATATTATTATTCACCACGTCTTTCACATCGAGGAATGGCCTTGTTTTTGGTGGGGAACAGTTCACATTTACTAATTCTGCAGCTTTCCAAGCAAGAGTGTTGTCATTCGCAACGATTATTCCAACCGGCTGGTGATAGTACTGAACCGTTCCACTACAAAACAGTTCTTCTTGGACAGGACATAACATCTCTCCCATGAGTTTGGGTGTGTAGGTGTTGTTACCGGGAATTGCGGTTTTATCATAAAAGGCAACTACGCCGTCCATTCTCTTGGGGGGAAAAGCATTTTTTATATTATGAGCAACAAGTTAAATAACTGTAATAAATATCTGAGCCGCAAGCATAGTATAAAATACTCTACTGTCTATATGTGAATAGTTTCAGAAGTTTCCCTTCAGTTAACAAAAGTTATGTTATAACAGATAAACTAGAGTTTTTCCTTGGGACGGAAGTATTTTAAAAATCTTCAAGCTGATGAATTTTCTGCAGAAACTTTCATATATGTGAACTAGTGATAAATTTTGACACAAGTTCGATATTTCAAAACATGAAATGTTTCTTTTTCTACTGATGCTATACAATGTGCCACTTCTCTCATTGCTTTCATAAGTTCAAAACGAAAGATTTCTCACGCAGTGAGAAATATCCGCCATTACAGTGAGAAATAATTTCTTACTTTTATCACGATAACCCAAGTCAGTCATGAATTTCTACAAGTCAGACTGATATGACACGTTCTCCATGTTAACAACGCTACGCCGACGATTCGCGTGCAATATCCAAGTAGCCCATTGTCGGCGTTTCCATAACAACAAAACAGAAGCACTGCATAATTATTTCTGTCAACTTACCCAACGAAAAAAGTTTTATTGTTGATTGTTATAGTATAAACAGTTCAGATTTATTAAATATTGAATATAATGGAATACGAAGATTTAGAGTTGGAAAATACACCTCCACAAATTGTTCACAAAGCAATAGATGTTTGCAATAAATACCTTGGCAGTTCATTTTGAAGAGTTGTCAAGAAGATTGAAATCATCAACATTATGGTCTCGGTACTCGATGCTGAGGAGTACCTTAATTATTAGAAACTGTGTTGATATATCAAAATACGTAAAACTACGTGTATTTTGAAAACGCAAATCTGAAAAATATGCTCCAAAACAGTCAAAAACATTAACTTCTGAAAAAATTCAACAATTTTTAAAAGATGCACCTAATGAAAAGTTATGCTGATAAAGTTATGGATTTAAAATTTTCAAATTGTTGTCGAAAATGAATGTTTGATTTTGATTTCAGGCTGTTTTAGCTATTGCCTTACAGGGGCATGCCGTTGTGATGAATTTCAAAAATTAAAAATTGATGACATGGAATATCCTAATTCGGCCCTTTTAATAAAATTACCCGAAACTAAAACCAAGGTTCCTAGACATTTCACAGTCACAGGAGAATTCTACCAAATTTACAAAAAATATAAGAAGCTTCGACCATGCACAAATGAAACACGTTTTATTTTAATTACAAAAATAGCAAATGTATGAAACAACCTGTGGGGTTGTTTCATACATTGGCTCAGAATTATATACTGGCCACTGTTTCCGAAGGTTATCTGCGACTATTTTAGGTAATGCAGTGGCGGATCTTTTAACTTTAAAACGTCATGGGGGTTGAAAATCCAGCAATGTTGCTGCATCTTATATCGACAACTCCATAGCTAACAAAATGAAAATTTAAAAAAGTATAGTAGAATCTATTCAGGCTCCAGCGTCATTGAAAGCCCGAACACAACAATGCTGTGGAAGCTCAGTACGTTTCCCCATCAACTTCAACTTCGACCGCAGCTAATATTTCAATTACCGAAAACATGTTGAAACAAAACGACCTACCAGGAATTACCTTACAAAATTGTCCAAATATTACTATTTTAAGTAAAATATAAAAATGTATAATTGAAAAAAACGTAACGTAGAAAAAGTACAGTATACAATGCGTAAGAAAATGACATATTTCTCACTCGCTTGATTTGCGGCAAACTTCTGCGCTCGTGAGAAATATGTCGTTTTTCTCACTTGTTGTACAATATACTATTTTTCACAGCTCTTGCTCATGGTGATCTATGGTTAGATATACTGAATAATTTACAATTGATAAAAACCCTATACTTTGTGGATCGAACCTTCAGTGGAATTTTCGACTTTAGGTAACATTTTCTGGTGATAAGAAAATGTTATTCCTGCAGGATTCCTCACTACTTCTTCTACCTGTACTTACTCTCTCTGGTGATGAAAAGATTATAGTCAATCCTCAACCATTAGTTCGTGTTGAACGAAAGTCATATTTTTGTGGAGGATATCAGAGTTATTTATTGAATTTATAAAGTTCTCAGTTGTAATTTTTATGAATTTTCATATTTTTTTTTAGATTGTGAAACGTGAAAATGCCCAAAAAAGTCGTTAAAGAAGTCTGCGTCCAGTTGTCCTTGCGACAGATACTGCTGTGTCTTCTGTATCTTCGCCTATTGCCTCATCGTCTTTTATAACGTGAACCGTAATCGAAGAGAAAATATAGCCATAGCCAAAAAACCTGGAAAATAGCTGGCCTAACCCTAGGTTCTACCTGAAACATTGGATTAAGAGCGAGAAATTCGCAGTTCTCTAACTCTTGCTGCTGTTGTGCAGTCAAGAACCGTTTCGTCGCCTCCTCGAGAGCAAGATATTGTATGAATCTGTCCTGCACATCATTTTCTAACAGCAGAAGCAGAATGTGTAGCAGGAAAGAAAACGAACTTCCCCTGAGAAGGTCAGTAGATGTTTACTTTCAAATGATGATTCACCCATAACAGAGAACAAAACCCTCTTCATAAGAATGGGTTGCTGGTAGGCATCAAGGTAAGAATCCTGCACCTGTTGCTTGACGAAAATATATTAAAATAGGCTGAAAAGAGGCAGTATATTGAAATTTGATAATTCTGATAATGAAAATAATGCCTTTTTAACTCCACTATTAGAAGGTTCAGGATGTTGAGTGTATTCTAGATAACTAAACCTAAGAATTGAGTGGGGAATGGGAAAAAATACCAGCGGGGTTCAAAGAGAACTGGCTGGTATCTCAATCGACACAAAAGAAATAACCGGGAAAGGAATTTTTGGCATAAACATAACATATCCGCACTGATAGCAGACGCGCCCTATTAGCCTTGAACAGACAACTTGTTACCTCAGGGCTAGTACAAGAGTGCCACCAAGTTTTAGCCAAAGCCTCGGTAGATAATAACATTATCCTGAGGTGGATTAAAGGGCACGACAGGAGTAAAGGTAATCGCATTGCCGGCTCTTTAGCCAAGAAAGCGGCTGGACTACGAATTTTAGGACCCAGTGGCACCTACTGCCTGATGACTTCGACAATTGCGGAACTAGCCAAACGTTACACCCGTGCTCAATCCCTAAAGAGATGAGATGAAATCAAAGGATGCAATCTTGCCAGGATCACCCTGGGCGACCCTGGGAAGCTGGGGCCGAAGAATTATCTGGCGATGAGCAGGAAAATCTACGTTTAACAGTAGGATTTCTGACTGGCTACCGTCAACTAAGGAAACACCTCCATAATATGGGGCTTGTGGACACACCTCTATGCAGGATGTGTCAACAGGAAGATGAAAATGTCAGGCATGTCCTATGCGAGTGTCCGGAGTGATCGTCAATAAGAGAGTGTGCATTCGGTGAGTTTTGGCTTACCCCTGCCGATATAAAGGAGATGTCTCCTAGTGACCTGTCCACCTTCCTGTACAGGATGGAGCTAGGGGGACAACTCCTCGGAAGGATGTACAATGGGTCATATGTGGCCTAAGTGCTGTGGGCCTACACTCACCCTTTCTACTCTACTCTCTAGTTACAGAGAACTCCACTATTAGTCTAATCAACAACAACAAAAACATGAAAAATAGAGATAAAGGTCCTAAAAATATGAGCGATAGCTCATTCGATTCGGAATCAGCTCTAGAAAAATGTTTTTGAAGGATGTTGGTGCAGGTAAAAAATTGCAATTGTTATTAACAAAATTAGATTGAAAAATGGTATTTAGTTTTTCTTTAATAACTCAAAAAATATTGATATTTGAGCAATTTTGAAAAAAGCTCGTTGAAGAGAAGGAAATTTCCGATAAAAAAGTCCAAACTCCTGAAACTCTATCTCCATTATTGATAATTTTAATTTGACGTTGAAAATAGGGTTCCGCGCGGTTGTTACGGCATGCGCGCGCTGCCGCTAAAGAGAGTTTATCAAAAGAAATA